CAACTTAATTTGAGTACTCTGATGAGCTCAGGTTTCTTCAAGGACAAAAGGGGGTGACGAAGGGTATAACTGAAAACGAACACAAAAGAGAAGTATATACTTGTCCTGGGAAAATGCTAATGTTCCTTTCAGCTAAGTTTGAAAAAAAGAAAAGAGATACAAAAGTTCACTGCTATGGTAGCTAATGTAACCTTGAGCTCTGACAGGATAACAGTAAAACTGTGGATGGTTTTAGACCACAAGAGAATTTCCTATGACATTGAACAACACCAAGAATCTGACGCTTCCCAATTTCTATTTGGCTTCTATCTTCCCTAGTGAGAAATATTTTCAAACCAGAAAGGATAAACAAGTAATGTTAGGAGATTTCTGAAGCTCCAAACAGACAGAGATCCTAGGAGACACTTAGCTGCTTTAAATGAGTGTTTAAGTATCCAGACCCAGAAGAATTAGATGCAATGGGTGGAAGGAATTTGCATCAAAACCAGGCATCATCAATGGTTCACTACTAGAAAGAAGCTATGATAAAGTAGCCTGATTTGGGTGGAATTCATACTAAATTCTACTTCATACCAAATTCTAATTCATACAATTACTACTAAAGGGGTAGATCAAAGGGAATGTCATAAAAAGAATATAGCATGCATTTAGAAAAGTGGTGGATAAAATACCTCGTAATATTCTCATGGGTATATTGGAAAGAAGTAGCTAACGAATAGCTCTGTTAAGGGGCTTCCATGTTGGTAGAAACGCCATGCATAAAGATCGCTTTTAAGTTTATACTAAGCAGAAGAGAGGTTCTTTAGAGATATTATCATGGTGTGTTGAATTCCAGTTACAGAAACCATGCTTATTAAATCTAAAGATGATGCAGAGGAGACGAGTGAATATGCTGGAAGATAGACTCAAGACTCACAAAGATCTAGATAGATTATAAATATAGGCTAAAACAAATAAGATTAAATGTAATAGGAGTAATTTAAGTTCAATCAACACTTTCACAAGTCACTGAAAAAAATAATAATAACCTGGAAGTTTTAATTGAGTATCTGCTCAATGTGAGCCAATGCCATTACATAGCTTAGAAAATCTTGGCCTATATTATGGTAGGTCTTAGATCAATAATAAGAAGGTAGTAATTTCATTGTATCATGTTTTAAATAGCTGCTATTTTATTTCCATTACATAATTCATTGTAGAATATTGAAAAATGTAAGCAAAACGAAAATAAAGATCACTCACAATTCTGCCACTCAAATATGAATACTATTTACATTTGGTGTTTATCATTCCAGACTTCTTAATGCACATTATAAATGTTCACACACAGTTATTTTTTATTTTAAAAAAGGATCGCACCATAAATGCTATTTTGTAACCTCTTTTTTGTTTTTTTTGTTTTTTAATTCAATAGTATATCAAGTCCCGGTATATTCTACACTGGTCAAATGACATCTAGTGCATTTTGTTCATTTCTGCTCACCACGCTTTAAGAGTCATTGCAAAATTTGAGAATATGCAAAGAAGGAAAAAGAGAGTAGCGAAAAGTATGAAAATATAAGTTCACCTATGCTCCATTGCTACATGACAAAAGGAAATGAGGGTACTTCCATGAAAAAATACAGAAGATGTATAAGAAAATAATACAGCTAAATGCATGAGCCTGAAACTGTCATGGTAGGTGAATTAAACTACTTTAGATTGATTCATATAGCCAAACTGGTACCAACTGCTGGAAATTAAAAGGAAGTGGACTTCAACTCAATAAAAGGAAAACTTTTTTAATAATTAGAGCTGTCAAAAAATGAAACGGATCTAGTCATGGGAGGGTTTAACAGAACTGGAATAACTAATGGGTAAAGGATGTTGGCAGTAATTCCTATAGGTGAGAGGTTCTAATAAAAGGGCCTGTTCTATTTGAAGGTTCTGTGATTCTAAAGGAAAACTTACTATAGAAATTTACTCCCAGTCCAATATGAAGCAAATCCGTGGTCATTAAGGCCTTAAGAAATAGAGCCCAATGCTTTAGAGCTGCACGAGAAATAGTAACACTAATGATGACCACCCATGTGCAAAATGCTTTGCATTCATGCTTTACACCTCATTTAATACTTACAACAACCCTGTATACACTATTCCCATTTTATAGAAGACAGTGAGGCCTAGAGAGGTTTTTATATTTATTCAAGGTCATTCTTAGTTTTGCTGAAAATTGCAGTGTCACCCAATCATACCTGATTCTCCATCACATAGCTACTGCTCACTTAGTAGGTAATATGTAATCAAAAGTATCTTCCCAAAAGTTCTTAACTAGTGATTCCTCAAAGGGCAGTCATGAGATTTTTAATTAGGAAAAAAATAATGAGGATTTTTCAATTAAATTATATATTGCAAAAAACAAATGCTTAGATTGGAAATTCTCAACCATATACCTTAAATTTTTGTGAATAAAACAGATTCAATGAATAAGATGTAAGATGTGGTAAAGCAAATTTGAATCACAGAACTTCAAATCTTTGCCATTACTAATTATGTGACCCTGGGCAAGTTCTTAATCTTTCTATCTCTTTAGTGCTCCATCTATGAAATGAAGATCATTTAAATCATTTAAGGTTGATAAAAGAATTAAATGAGATGATACATGTAAGCATTTAGCACAGGATCTAACCCTATTATTATACAACATAAGTAACAAATGGAGGGGACAAGGAGAAGCAAACCTATTCCACAATTCATTCTAAAATATTTAAAAATTTCTAGAGTGTCATTATGTTTAAAAGGGGAGGGGCCACATTCTCCATTATCTTGTAAATAAATTTCTGACGACAATCATTTATGAAATAAAGTGTCAACTAAATAACATATACCTTCTCTTAGGAATTTCATTTTATGCAAAAGATCCTCCAAAGAGTACAATTTCAATTGCCATTTCCTTCTAAGACACTGTTTTAATTGTTTGTTCAGTATGAGATAGATAAATCCAAGTTTAATGCTAATTGGTTTGGGTTTTGATTTTTACAACTTGGTTCAAAGTACTCTAATGCACACATGTTTTTTAGTTTCGCTGTTTTCTATGTGCATTCTTGTTGTAGAGCTACTACTGTTACCTCCGACAAAACCAGCAAAAGAGAAAACCTCTCTCTCATTCAAGACGTACAATTTGGGTCACCATTTTAATATTTTATTTAATGTTGACATGAAATAGTTGGTATTTTATTCCTAAAATTTGGCATCTATTCTTTTTTTCTGAAATGGCACAACTGAGAAAGTATTTGAAAGATGTTTGCCTTTAAGTTTTATCACAAAGATAGGCTTTTTTAAATACCATTTATATCAATGAAATTTACTGAAGTTCTCCCTGGTTTCAAAGAATTCTTTAGTCTTTCAAAGAATTCAGTTCCAAAAGGAATTATTTTTAGAAACCTCTTTCAGCATATACGCTTCTAGCCATAATCATTTTTATAACTGATATGATCCACTGGCAAACACTGTATTTAAAACTGTAACCAGATATACTGCTTCCATGTAAATTACCTGTGACTAAGGGCAATTACGACAGCTATAATCTGAAATATATACACATTGTCTATTTGTGTGTGAAAGTTAAAATTATTTAACAAGAGAGTACACACAAGAGTCATCACTTCTAAGACCTACTGGAAGAGATGTCCCATAAATATTCATTGTTCTGTAGTGAACTGTCATTCCAATAAAAAGTCACTGTCAACAAGTATAGATGATCACATATGGAGCTTTTTTTAATTTCATCAACTATTTTCCTACTAAATTCATCTCATTGTAATACAAATATTTTCATTTATCCTATTAGCCAGGACTGTAATTAACTGCATTATCTGATCACTACAACACGTGGGAAATGTGTAAAGAACACAATGTCATCATTCAAAAGTTTGTATTAACCACTTGTTAAGAGTAGCACAGAACAGCTTTAAAAAACAAGAATATCATTTGGGCTTTAAAAAAATTTTAAAGCTAGGTTGCCTAAGAGATTTTTTAGGGTGAAGATATGACTAATGCCTCTCGAATATCCAGGATAAATTAAAAAGCCATGATTTTAGAAAAACAGAATTTTCCTTGAATGCTATCTAGTGAATATTCTTCAGGCTTCCTCCTTCCCCACTGACTTCATTTGTCCATCAATTCAACTTTTTAAGCTAATAGTTTTTGAAATATGCAAATCAACCCTATTTCATTTCTAAGGTACTGCCTGCTGAATAAAGCCTCTGACATTTTTTAAAATGTCATCTTAGATTCTCCAAGCAATATTAGTCTCACCTGCAACATCTTCACATTAAAAGGCCTCTACCACATTCCAAATACACTATCCCGATCTCCCGAACTTGGCATCCTTCATCCTAAGATATAAAATAAGCAAGTTTCCACTCAGCTATGTCCAGGTAACTGAAAGTACTGCTGCCTCATCAAGTTTTATACACACCCTGTACTGATGCCATCTCATCCAAATTTGGTTTACTTTCTTCATTTTGTGGGATCATAACCCCTAGCAGAGCAAATGCCTTCTGCAAGAGGAGACAGCAGCAACCAAAGGCTGTGTGGTTTTTGCAGGGTAATTGCATGCACGCAATAGCTTCTCTGCCCATTTCATTTAAATAGACCCAAAAAAAACACGCTGGGTTCGAGGCTGAAAATATATAATAAACATCGATGGAAAGCAGGTGGAACGCCGATTTTCTTCCAGCCACACTAGTACATGTCCAAGTTCTGCACCACAGCTCAGAAAAAAGTAGCTACTGACGCATTGATGGAAGGCTATTTTAAAATGACTCAATCCAAGGCATCAATCTTCCTGGGAGGCGCAAGCCTCCTTCTCCATACACCCTGCCTGTTTTCCTGCCTAATTTAAGAATGAAGCGCTAGCAGCCAGCAGGTGCAACATCCACGAGGAGGAGGAAGAGGAGGACGTATCCATCACAATGCATAAGGAGGTATGCAATCCCGGAGCTGCAGCGGGTCCTTACCTTAGCAGATTAGACAGGGGCAGGGGTCCAGATCCGCCGCCCAGGATCCCTCCTTTCCTGCCAGACAGGAGTTTCTCCACCAGGGCCACATTGCCAGTGCGAGCAGCTTCCAGCAGCTCCTGGTCCTTCCCCATAGTCTCTCACCGGCTCCCTCACAGAGTCCTTTCCCCTCCAGGTCTTTCTCCCCGCCCACCCCCCACTCCCCCAAATCCGGGGCCCTCCCCGCCCCACCCTAAAATCATGCGAGAGCTTCCGCACGAAGAGATCCCTGCAGCCCCGAGCCGGGAATACCACTCCGTCCTCCTCTTCGGGGCGCAGCTTTTACAATGGGGATCCGACCATGTCTGGGGAGAGGGGCTGGCCCAGCTGGGAGCTGCGACGCGCGCCCACAGCCACTCCCCTGAATTCCTGAGGCCTCCTCCCCGCGGGTGGGGCGTGAGGGGGGTGGGGACCCGGGTGCTTTGAGGAGCGTGCGGAGAGGCCCGTGAGGACTGAAGAGGTCGGAGAAGGAGGAGACGGACACTGTCCTCGCTGGAGCCGGGGCGCAGCGAACGACCGCGCGCCCCGGCCCGGGATCCCCTCCGCGTCCGCGCCCGGCGAACTAGCGGTTAGCTTAGGCAGCGGCGTCGGCGGCCCGAGGCGGAGAGCAGCGCCGCAGCCGCGGCTCCCGCGCCCGTGGCCCGCGCTGAGGCAGGGCGGTGCGGACTAGCCGCGGCGGGCGCGTGCAGAGGGCGGCGGCGCGGAGGCGG